GGTCGAGGAGGAGGAGGACTAGCACTGCGAGGGAGACCGATGAGGCGGAAGTGTGGAGGAAGAGGAGGAGGATGAGGAGGAGGAGGAGGAGGAGGAGGAGGAGAAGGATGAGGAGGATAAGGAGGAAGAAGAGGAGGAGGAGGAGGAGGAGGAGGAGACGAGGAGAAGAGGAGGAGGAGGAGGAGTAGGAGGAGGAGGAGGAAGAAGTGGACAAGGAGGATAGGAACGATGAGGATCAGTGGGAGGAGGGGGGAGGGGGAGAAGACAAGCTAGGTGCGCTCGCGTCATATCTGACGTCCTACCCCTCCCTCCCATCCCTTACCATGGCGCTGATTTTCTCTATCCGCGGACGCGTGTCGTAGCGGACATGTGGCTCCGCGCGCGCGTGCGTAGTGGGTGGTGGTGCGCATGCGTGCGTGCGTGTGCGTGGGGTGGTGGTGGTGGTGGTGGTGGTGGTGGTGGTGGTGTGGTGCTGGTGCTGGTGTGGGGTGGTGGTGGTGCTGGTGGTGGTCGTGGTGGTTGTGGTGGTGGTGGTGGTGGTGGTGGTGGTGGTGGTGGTGGTGGTGGTGGTGCGGCGCGGTGGTGGCGGGCGGATGGGCGCGCGAGAAAGAGGCCCGCGCTGGGGCGAGAACGCCATCCTGAACGACGGAGGCCAAACACCGATCCGAAAATGAGGCCCACGCTGCAGCGGGAGCACGATTCGGAACGATTCGGGAACAGAAATGAGGCCGGCGCCTCAGCGAGAGCAGCATTTTGAAAAAACGCAATCGGAAACCCAACTCCCGGGAATCCTGTGTGTAAAAAAACAGTACGCGGGGGGGGGGTCGGCCACTCCCAGCACGCCATCAGGGGAAGAGGGAGAGTAGTATTCATATTGAGTAATTGTAGAGGAGGAGGAGAACAGGAGGAGGATGAGGAGGAGGAGGAGGAGGAGGAGGAGGAGGAGGAGGAGGATGAGGAGGAGCAGGAGGAGCATGAAAAGATACGGTGAGGCGCTGGGGGCGAATCCGCGGCGGCAGCTGGGACTCTAATTACGGCTCAAGGCCTTGTAGCCTCCCTGCGGTTGAAATTGACGGGCCCCTGCGCTGGTGGGCCTGCCTGCGGGAGCGGGGGGCGAGGTCCGCGCCTCGCGCCCCGCTGGCGCCCGGGGGAGCTCCCAGTGGGGCCAAGACGCGTGTGAGCCCCGGGGCCGACGGGCCGCCCTTCGAGCACACAGGCGTGGTGGTGCCTGGGGACGGGCTCGCCCTCTGGATGACCTTGGAGGCGAAGGACGACTGGGCAGCACAGGTGGGCCAGAACGGGCACCCCCGCCCCCTTGGGTCTGCCTCGTGGAGCGTGTGCAGCCAGCGAGCCGTGCAGCAGGGAACCGCATGCGAACCCTGCCACTGAGGCCATCGGTGGAGCTCCGCAGGGGGTGCCAAACACGTGCCGAAACGAGCGGGGAACCGCATGCGGACCCTGCCACTGGGGCCTGCGGCGGAGCTCGGGAAGGGGTCGCGAAAACGTGCCGAAATGAGCGGGGAACCGCATGCGGACCTTGCCACTGGGGCCTTCGGCGGGGCACCTTGTGGGGCCACGAAACGTGTGAGGGGTGCGCCGAAATGGGGTGGAACTGCATGCAGACCCTGCCAGTGGGGCCTTCGGCGGGGCAAACTCTGGGGCCGCGAAACGTGAGGGGTGTGCCGACATGGCAGTGGAACTGCATGCCGACCCTGCCACTGGGGCCTTCGGAGGGGCAAGCTATGGGGCCACGGAACGTGTCAGAGGTGCGCCGACATGGAGGTGGAACTGCATACAAACCCTGCCAGTGGGGCCTTCGGTGGAGCACCCTGTGGGGCCACGAAGCGTGCGAATGGTGCGCCGGATTCGGGGTGGAACTGTATACAAACCCTGCCATGGGGCCTCTGGTGGAGCACCTTATGGGGCGACGAAACGTGTGAGGGCTACGCCGAAATGGAGGTGTAATTGCATGCGCCCATACGACGGCGATGGAGACATGCGGAGGGCAGAGGCAAGGGATGGGAGGACGGTGGAGGGGGAGGAGGAGGGGAGCGGGAACGCGGGGCGCTGTCTCTGCAAAATCAACACCCAACACCACAGGATGGCTGGGAAAAACTCAAAGACGCCCAGAAACCTCCATCCTCTCTTCTGCTGCCTCGCACGCGCTGGTGGAGTCGCCGTCGAGTCCACGATGCCGCGCGCCCGCGCCCCACCGGAGGTGTGGAGGAGGCAACACCCGCCCACCATCACCCACCTCCCCTCTCCTCTGGAAGAGAAGCAGCGAAGGAGTGATCCTCCCTTCTCCTCCTCCTCCTCCTCCTCTTTCTTCTCACGTCGTTGCAGGCACCCTTGTAGTGTGAAGCCTCCTCCGGGAGGAGGCGTGCTTTTCCTTTTTCCTCAACTTTCTCCTATTCTTTTTTTCCTCCGAGAACTCGTTCTGGAGCGTCTGGGATTTCAAAGAGCGGATGCAGCCTGGGCAACGACTCAGCAGCCTTCAGGAGGCCAGACCAATTTTAGGACATTCAGAATCACGTCCCTTCTCCGCCCACCCTCTGTGTCCCCCCCTCCTCCAAATTACTGCATCCCTTCTTCCGTATAAACAACTCCTCCCTGTCGTACCCCCAGACCTGTCTGCAGGGCGGGCCCGGGAGTTTCGCCCGAAACTTCCTCACCAATGCTGATCCTGAAGCCTGAAATTTGCAACAGCTTCAAAGATGGATGGTCATTTCTTATCAAAATGTGGCTCTCGCCCTGGCGCGGCGCACATTCGTTGCAAACTTTTGCGACAGTCTGAAAGATGGAAGGCGGTTAGTTTTCAACATGCGGCTCTCGCCTTATCGCCGCGCGAATGTGTCTCAAAATATTCCAATCATCTGAAGGGGTGAATTCCCGGGGATGATGTTCCGGCACGGTTGAGGATTGCTGGTGCGCAGTAGTCACATCGATTCGCGATGTCAAAGTTTCAGGAATCGCATTCGGGCACGATCTACAATTTTCAGGAGGAAACAATCACGTTGATTCGCGGCGTCAATGGGGCACTTCCCGCAGTGAAGCTAAATTCTTGGAGGAACCCACGGAGGGGGGGGGACTTGGCAGGAGGATTTACTGCAGCACTGTTGAAGCGTCTTGGGCTTCCACTGGTCCTACAGTCAACCCGTATAATGAAGACGCACGATGGGGATGCGAGGGCCGTGGAAGGCCATGTCGACACTGGGCCAGCGGGGCGGGGCCAGCGAAAGCGGCCAAGGATGGGCCGAAGGGGGAAGGACGCAAGGGTCACCTTGGAAACTCGCTCATCCTTGCTAATTGTTCGAATTGAATGTGCTCCTCCACCCCTGATCCTCTTCTCTCGGGGAGACGTAAGACTCGGGTACGGAGGACACTCGGGTTGGCCTCACGGGGCAATCATAAAAACGACGAGACCCAATTTGAAACTTGATGCGAACTCCCGCTGCAAACATCCTACGAAAACTGGACCGTCAAACTCCGGGACGCGCTCGTCCAAAAAATGCCGGGGCTTATACTCGAGTCTTACCTTTCCCCGATGCTCCTGCTCGTCGTTGACCTCCTGCTGCCGTCAAGTCGGGCCTGTCCCCCTACAGGCCGATGTTCGACGAAAAACGAATTAGCCTGGCGAAGGACCCAACCATATGCAGTTGTGAGTACCGCAATTGTGAATTGTGAATATCTTCTTCGGTGGCGCTCCCTATGGGGCCACGAAGCGCTGTACTGGGTGGGCGAAACGCAGGGAGCAAAGGCCGTGTTGGGTGGTGGCGGACGCAAGCGGGTGGTGCCACTGGGACCTTCGGTGGAGCTCCCTTTGGGGCCACGAGGCGCTGTACTGGGTGGGTGAAACGCAAGGAGCAAGGGCTGTGCTGGGTGGTGGCGGACGCATGCGGGCGGTGCCACTGGGACCTTCGGTGGGGCCCCCTTATGAGGCCACGAAACGCTGTACTGGGTGGGCGAAACGCAGGGAGCAAGGGCTGTGCTGGGTGGAGGCGGAAGCATACGGGCGGTGCCACTGGGACCTTCGGTGGAGCTCCCTATGGGGCCACGAAGCGCTGTACTGGGTGGGTGAAACGAAGGGAGCAATGGCTGTACTGGGTGGTGGCGGACGCATGCGGGCGGTGCCACTGGGACCTTCGGTGAAGCCCCCCATGGGGCCACGAAACGCTGTACTGGGTGGGTGCAACGCAGGGAGCAAGGGCTGTGCTGGGTGGTGGCGGACGCATGCGGGCGGCGCCACTGAGACCTTCGGTGGAGCAACTATGGGGCCACGAAGCGCTGTACTGGGTGGGTGAAGCGCACGGGGCAAGGGCTGTGCTGGGTGGTGGCGGACGCATGCGGGAGGTGCCACTGGGACCTTCGGTGGAGCACCCCGATGAGGCCACGAAGCGCTGTACTGGGTGCGTGAAACGCAGGGAGCAAGGGCTGTGCTGGGTGGTGGCGGACGCATGCGGGCGGTGCCACTGGGACCTTCGGTGGAGCACCCTATGGGGCCACGAAGCGCTGTGCTGGGTGGGTGAAACGCATGGAAGGAGGAGGGAGGTGAGGAGGGGGAGGAGGGGGAGGAGGAGGAGGAGGAGGAGGAGGAGGAGGAGGAGAGGAGGAACGCGGGGACCGTCTCTTCAAAACGAGTACCCAACAACACAGGTTGGTTGGGAAAAATAGCCCTAACATGCCCCCCAATGGTCCAAAATAGTAAACAAAATCGTCCCCAGACTATTTTTTCATACTATTTTGGGAGATTCCTCCTGTAGAGGGACAGGCCCGACTTTGACAGGCCTAGAGGTTGACACCAACACCAATCTCGGCGGCGTGCCTCCACCGAGGGAAGAGGATCCCGATCTCGGCGATGGTGGCAATCATCTGGCTGCCAAGGTGGCCGACACATTACCACCAACACCGAAGTCTAGGATCATCTTCCCCCTGTGGAGGCAGCCCCCTTGTGTTGGTGTTGGCTACCCCCGTGGGGGCCGCGGGGGGCTGGGCTCGCGGGCCGGCGAGCCCTTTGTGCCCGGGCAGATCCTCCGTGAGCCGGGCGATCTCCAGGCGCAGCCGCCCCAGCTCCCGGCAGGCGTAGACGCCCCCGAGCAGGAGGCCGAGCCCGGGGGCGCCGCGGGGCAGTCAAGGGCCCAGAGGTCCAACGCATTGAAAAAATCGAGGCGGATGTATTTCGCAAAGTTTGGCCCCTGGGGGCCTTCGCCGGGCGTCGGGACCGTCAAAAAACGGCGCAGGATGAAGAACCGGTCCTGGGGAATGGGTCGAGACTTCCAGGGACCCCGCTTTGAAAAAATCACGACATCGGACCTCAGGGGGGGTGACAGTGAACGGGACGCGCAGGCACGTGCTCGCATACCACATGTCCTCCTTGCAGGCGCGCGTCCGACCCGAGCATGTCGAGTACACCCGTCTTGTAGTACATCGTTTCCCGAGCGGTGTGGCCAGAGAGCGCCCGCCACGGCGCCTATACTGGAAGATTGCCCGGTGCGCGCGTCGCCCCTGGGAGGGGGGGGAAGGAGGCGACGCACACCTATTGTCTTGGTATGGTGGGGTGACGCCAATAAGAGATACAATAAGATCTAGGACAGAAGAACATCCTCGGAGGACATGAGACCCTCCGCCGGCCAAACACGCACACACGCACACACGCACACACACGCACACACGCACACACACACAAACACACACACAGAACAGCCAAGGGCACCCTCCCCAGGATGCGCGAAAACATCCAACAGGCACGAGGAACTGCAGGGCACCCTCCCCGAGCCGACCCCAGTCTCAACCTACCTTAGCCCTGAGCACCAGAGAAAGAATCTTCGAGCGCCAGAAAAGTACCCCCAAGCTTGAGAGTTTTTATGCGTCGGGCCCTGGGAGACACTCGTCCGACACTGCTTCGACACTCTTTCGACACTTTTCCGGGTGCTCAGTATTTCTGGGATGTGGTCCTTGAGCCCGATGGGTGCAGCACAATCCTTGGCGTGGGAACGTCGCGCTTTCCACATCGCAGAGCCATCGAGACCCGAGGAACCCAGGGCACCCTGGCGGCAAGCAGGGTGCTTCTTGGCATGGGCTTCCACTGTACTCCAGATTTCGTAATAAAAGGGAGGGGGTCTGGACCCTCCAAGACAAGCCATTTCAGACCTCCCCCGTGGGAGAACCATCCAAAACATCGTCCCCAGACCCCCCCAGGCCCTCCAAGATAGCCTGGAAGAGACCCCCCCCGAAATGAGACCCCCCTCCCTTTATTACGAAATCTGGAGTACCCCCCTTCCGCCCGACCCAATCAGCGTAGAAACTCGCGCCTTCGCTTCGGAAATCGCTGGCCGTTTCTGCCTGTCCTCGCCGCCACGGCTGGGCGAGGCTCGGCAGGCGGGCCCGGATGGGCCCCAGGAAAGGTCTGGGAACAACCTTCGAAATTGATGCTGCAGGTCTTCGAACCTCACGCTTCTGCTCCTCTTCCTCTTCCACATTCGTTCAACAATTACTCAATCTGAATGCTACTCTCCTCCCTCCCCTGACCATGTCCGGAAGATGTCCCGCCCTCTCCGCGCACTGTGTTCTACACGCAGGATCGGACACAAGGGCTTTCTCATCAGAAAGATATTGGATTCTCCCCCCATGCCGTCCGTGACGGGGGTGGGGTCGGGGTCGGGCTCTCGTGGGGGGGTGACAGTAACGTGGGCGTGCCCCGCAGAGGGGAGGCCTGGGCGCCGGACGACGACGACGCCTACGACGACGACGACGAGGACGAGGACGATTACAACGACGGCCCCCATTGAAAGTGCTCGATGCCTCCAGGGGCCTCAGGATGTCTCCAGAGACCTCTGGACGCGTCTGGAGGCCCTTCGAGGCCCTCAAAAACGACGACGACGACGACAAGGCCTTTGGAGACGATGACGACGAGGACGACGAGAACGACGAGAAAGACGACGACGACGACAACGATGAGGGCGACGACGACGATTACGACGATGACGAGAACGACGACGACGAGAGCGACGACGATGAGGACGACAACGTGATCGCCGCACCACGACGACGACGATGGGGACGACGACGAGGACGACGAGGATGACGACGACGGTGAAGCCAACGCCGACGCGGACGGCGACGACGCCGACGCCGACAACAGGACGAAGAAGACGACGACGACGACGACGACGACGACGGCCGCCTCTGGAGGCGTCTGTGAGCTAGCCAGTGACTGTCAGCACCCTCCTCCTCCTTATTCTCCTCCTGCTCCTCCTTCTCCTCCTCCTGCCAGTGAGCACGGCGCCACAGAAACTGTGGGGGGGCGCCCCCCCCCCTCCCCGTACGTTCGTCACCGTGACGGGGGGGGGGGGGGCGACCCCCCCGTCACGGACGCTACGGTTAAGTCGGGCCTGTCCTTCTATAGGAGGAATATTCGACAATAGTCAAAACATAATATGGGGACGATTTTTTTAAACTATTTTGGACAATTGAGGGACTACTTTTCTGATTTGTTCTGATTTTTCGTCCAAAATCCCCCTGTACGGGGACATGCCCGACCTAACAATACGGGTCTTAATAATTGTTTTTAAAATGCATTTCTTTTCACACGTCGACTGTTTTCGGCGTTTCAAAACATGGTGCTCCCTCTGCAGCGCGGGCCTCCTTTTCGGATCGGCACTCTGCTCCCGTCCCTCAGGCATTGCGCTCCCGCCCCAGCGCGGGCCACTTTTCTGGATCCCGCTTCCGTCGCTGCCGTCCCGCCCTCGTTTCCCCTCCTCCGCCTTCCCCTGGTCCTCCCTCCAGGGTGTAACTTTAGGTCGGGCATGTCCCCCTAGAGGGGGAGGGGGATTTCGGACGACAAATCAAAAATAGTCAAAAACATAATAAGAATTATCAACCATAGGAAGAATCGTCCCCAGACGATTTTTTTGATTATTTTCAAAGTTCCCTCCTGTAGTACAGGAACAGGCCCGACTTGAGTGCAACTTGCAGCATCGCCGATGCATCGTGGGCTTACTCCGGGCCTGGCCCGCGCTGCTGCCTGCCCGTGCTCCTTCCGAAGCCTGCCCCTGGCCTCCTCCTCCTGGCCATCCCTGCCCGATGCTCCCTCCCATTCTCCCTCCTCCTTCTCCTTCCCCTCCCAACCTCCCAGACCTCCTCCCCCAACCCCCGACGCGTTTTTTTCACGGCGTCGGCCCAAAAAACTCTCGGACCATGCCCCATTCCCGGCTTTTCATCCTGAACCGTTTCTTGGCGGCCCCGAGGCCCGGCAAGGGCTCCCGGAGGCCGAGAATAGGGCAAAACCTTCCGTCATGACTTTTTCCATGTCCCAATAGGTCCACCCCCCCGTCGCCACTTCGCTGCTCCTCCCCAGCGAGCGGCTGACTGCCGCCAGACGTGACCTGCGCCCCGCGCCACCCGGCCCCTTTGGGGGACAGGGGCGCCCGTCCCTGGGCCGCCCCCGGGAGATCGGGGAGGCGCTAGCCCGGAGGAGGAGAAGGCGGAGGAGGAGGAGGAGGAGGAGGGACGATGACGACGATGACGACGAAGGAGGCGGGAGGAAGAGGACTCTGAGATCCTGGCGACTCAAGTGTTCCGAGCCGGGCGCTTTCGCTCAACGTCGGGCCCTGAGACCCCCACAGATCGATCCGGCTCGAAAATTGACGCAGAAAGATGGGGCCAAAGAGTCCGGTCGTGATTTTTGCGATGCTGCATCTTTTGCACCGTCGGATCTCAGGGGAGGGGGAGGGGGAGGAGGAGGAGGAGGAGGAGGAGGAGGAGGAGGAGGAGGAGGAGGAGGAGGAGGAGGAGGAGGAGGAGGAGGAGGAGGAGGAGTAGGAGTCGTTTTCCGTCCGTAACATGCCTTACCAGCCGGCGACTCCTGGAGCGAATGCTTCAGGAGTCGCCTGGCTCTCCCCCCCAGGGCCGACCGGCTCTCAGGGTGGGAGGGCGGCATCCGACGGATCCTATCGCCTTCAGCTCAAGGAACACGGAGGACGGAGGAGGGAAGGCGAGCAGGAAATAGAAGGAGAGTGATGATGGTGGTGATGATCGTGTTGGGTGGTGGTGTGAAGATGGTCATGGGCCATGGCCATGAAGCAAGCGTATGTGGACCACTACCCGCGTGGTGCTGCTGTTGTTGATGATGATGCAGATGATGATGATCATGATGATGATGATGCTGATGATGCTGCTGCTGCTGCTGATGATGACGATGATTGGTGATGATGATGATGATGATGATGATGATGATGATGATGATGATGATGATGATGATGATGATGATGATGATGATGATGATGATGATGATGATCATGCTGCTGATGCTGCTGATGCTGCTGATGCTGATGCTGCTGCTGCTGCTGCTGCTGCTGCTGCTGCTGATGATGATGATGATGATGATGATGATGATGATGATGATGATGATGATGATGACGCTGATGCTGGTCCCGATGATGAGGATGAGACTGTTGACGATGACGGCCCCGAACTTCCGCACGCGCCCAGTCAGGGCGGGGGGAGCGGGAGGAGGTGGGTTCGGGACCCCCTCGCTACGATGCGCGGGCATGGCGGCGGCAGCACCTGCATGGCGGAGGAGCGCCTGGGACGCGCTGGGGAGCGTTCGCGAGCGCCTGGGAGCGCCTGGGAGCGCTTGGGAGCGCCCGGGAGCGCTTGCGAGCGCCTGGGAGGCGCCGCCAGGGAGCGCTTCGGCATGCTTGGAGAGCGAAGCCGAAGCCGTGCCGCGCGGGAGGTCGCGGCCGCGCCGCTTCCCCCCAAAGGCTGGCTCCGCTCGGGCCCCGGCCTCCGCCTGCGGGCCGCGCCCGCCGAGCCACGCACGGCCCACCCCCGCCGTGGCCAGCGCCCCGCCGCCGGCCTCGCCTGGCGGCGCGCACGAGGGGGCTGGGGGACGGGGGAGGGCCTCTCAGACGGAGGCTGCTCCTTAGAATGCGCCGGCCTGACATCTACAGACAAGGCCCGCGCCCTCTGAGAAGCAGGCGGTGCTTCTGAGGAGCCCTCCCCC